TGTCGATTCGCATGTGCGTCCAGCACTCCCGTCGAGCTACACCTGTGCTACCATACTAGTACAATGATTGGATGTTGGCACCAAAATAACGCAACACGATCTGGCTTCTGCTCAGCAAATTTCAATTCCAGACGACGTTTGATTCTGCGCCAAGATGGGGCTCATGTTGGGGTCTATAAACAAACGCTTTGTGGACCGTGGGTTTGGCGTACAAGACGAGTTCTTTCTGAAGACATGGAATGCGCAATTGCAGCGGTGTCATGGCTCACCACTATTTCAACACATCTCATTTACGTAGACAAGGATCGTGAGCGTGACGCTCCTGGTGCACAAGGCGACGGTGCAAAAGTATTTATGAAAAACAAACGAAATGAAATGCCATCTGAGAAGTTATAAGGAGAAACGAAAACGAGAAATGCTTCGACGACGCCTGGAAGGTCCTCTTTCAGTGGCGGAGGTTGTAGCGGTGGTTGCGGCGTCCGACATTCGGTGCGGCAGCAGCAGCTTCTGCGGCAGCTTCTGCGGCAGCTTGTGCAGCTGCTTGCACAGCAGCAGCTTGTGCGGCGAGGGTGTTGGCTCGGGTGGCGACTTTGTATCCTGTCCGAATCGCTACGGCGATCGTCGTTGCCAAATGCACGGGGTAGTCGGGGCGCACGCCCTGAATAATATGCCCTTGTCCATCTGTGGCGCGGTACAGATCGTCGCCGAGTAGCGTAATGGAAGGTCCGTGGTCATGCGGCTGGCGCTCGACGACTTGCGGCAGCTCGGCAGCCATCGCAGCGACCTCGTTGCGCACATGCACGTGCCCAGGGAGGTACACGCCATCGTCAAGAGCAACGTTGCCGCAGCTTATGGCATCCGTGATTGCAATGTTGTTGTCACGACGACGGTAGAGCAGCGCGAGCGCGGGCATCTGAGCCAAGATGGGGTTCATGTTCGGGTCAAGCGTCGCCGCGTTCCGCAACGGGTAGAGGACGACGACAAGGACCGTCTGGAGCACGGGAAACTCGTGGAAGAGTGCGCGCGTATGCGGGTCATACTGATTGAACGACGCGCGGTGCGTGACGGCGACCTCGATCATGCAGCGGGGCAAATGGCTGTTGGGGTCGTCGAGGGCCGGGTTCGTTGTTGAATCGCGAGGTCGGGTATGCGGACGGTGCCAGCATGGTCGTAAGCCACGCCCATGACGCACTCTAACGGCGTATCCGTCAAGGCGTCGTCCACAACGCGGCCCAGAAGCCGAATCGCCTCCTGGTGCACTTCACCAGGCGCCACCTCAGTGATGTAAATGTCGCCGCGGGTCGTCTTTGTAATGACGTCGCCATCGTACGTCGCTCGGAAGACCGCGCCGCTGGAATAAGGACCGTCCAGCCAGCGACGGAGAAGCACGTTTTGGGCAATGAGGAGGTCGTCGTCCTCGCCGTTGGCCTCGCGCCGCTGGAACTCGCGGATCGCAGCCATGAGGCCGGCCTCCGTGACGCGGCTGCGCATGACGGCGAACGTTGCTGACGGCGCTGGGGTAGCCATGCGTACGGATTCAAACGAAGCAGACTCGCCACCAAAGAGCATGATCGAGAAGACGACGTGGGACGAGGCGGGCTCGGGACGGGGCGCAATGTGAAATGACCACCAGCGCTCGGTTGCAAGGCAGCCATGTTGTCTTGCTTCTTGTATGCGATACCAACCCACTGCTCTTTTTATATCGAACGAGGGCTCGCTGCTTCAAGCGCGTGTCGACGATCGCACCGTGATGAGGTGTCCATAGGCAGCGCGGACGAGAGTATCCCGTTCGATACAAACGCCAAATGGACTTATTCTCTGGTTTTGAATCAGGGCTAGGGGTCGCGAGTGGTCGATCGATCTTGGCCAGCTGGGTCGTACTACAAGTCGTCGACACGTCGCGTGATCGCACTTCTGCTGTCGGCCACACAGCAGTTGTGCAGCATCCTCCCAACGGCTACTGAGCTTTAGACGCCGGTGGCAGCGCCCATTGCGTCGACGAGCCGACGTCACAATCTCGTGTCGTGTGACCTGGAGCAGCTTTATCCGACACCGAATGAGCTCAGCCGCCACTGACCACAGAGCCATCGATGACATGCGCAAGAGAGTCAGATCGACATAAACGGGATCCGAAGAGGCTACTCCCACGGCCATTGGGTTGCATTGCAGTCGATTGATCGATCGACCACTCGCGACC